TCCTTCCCAGAGTAATTTTATTGAATTCGATACTCGTACTGATTATTATTTGATTCGAATGCGTCTTTATGTGTTTAATATACTCCGGACGACTTTTTAAAGATAGTAAATTTTACGTACACATTGAAATGGACTAAGTGATATACAATCCACATTTACCTAATCAAATTCGTAGGCTATTACTAGACGACTGCTTGTAGTTGAAACCGTCTGCATGCAGTCGACACTTACTGCATGTAGGTATCGCTGCGCGTCTAGGTAAGGAGCTCAGTGTATTTGTTGATGTCGAAATGGAAGTACAGATGTCGGATACTTCTTGCTACTACAGCTTGTCACTGAATATTTATAATTTCAATCGCTAACTTATCTTTTTTTATGGAAATAAAACAGAAGCTGTCACTGTCGACACCTTCTGTTTTAATTTTTCAAAAACTCACGTCAGTGGTTCCGGACTATACTTTGCGGTGGAATTGCTGCGATCAAAAATGCATAGATGTTGTTACAAAAAATAAAGAAATTGTTCCAATGTGAAACATAACGTTGAGTAAGGTTTCACGAATCGTTTTTTTGTGTTACCATTATGTTGATAAAACCCTGAAGTAATTGTTACCTTTTGCCGTTACTTAAAAAAATAACAGCGTGTCACAATAAGACACAAAAAGTCATAATCGTCGCCTTACTTTTTCAAACTCGTATCTTAAAGCACAAACTACTGAAATGGATAGTCTATACAAGTTTTGCACGCCGATTTCTTCATATTCACACACTAGCTTTTACCTATTCTTAAAGTAATGAACACCCTTGATAAGAAATTTAAAATATTTAGAAAGTGTTGCCATCTCCTGAATAGTCACTTGTTTTTTAGATACGAGAGAAAATAAGGCATCGATATGTCCTCTTAAGAATTTCAATTCATGCTTTTAATTATAGACTGTCATTGGCTTCATCGACTGCATCCGACGCTAGTCGAGTCTTTGACCGCAATCATTAACTGCAGACATGCAGTCCAACTGTAGCAGCATCCACCAGCAGCCTAATATAGATAACAGGAGATGTGAGAAATTTTGATTTCACATAACAGAAATTCGAAACTTAACTTCCAACCTGGAGATAGAAATTGCGGGATATTAAATAGGGACACAGCCTATAAGGCTAATCTATTATCGGAAATGAAGTCTCGACTCGGTCACGGCTTATTCACTTTGACCTCGTCTCCACTCGACTTGAGGTGAGCTAAAACTATTAACAACCACTCCGCCGTAACGAATCGAGAGCAACCGAGTTGGTACATCACATTTGGTTCGAAATAAGCTTTCAGGAAATTAAACCTCACGAATATCGCGCTTGGAAAAATGTCTGGAAAATTCGAATTGTCATATTTATACGTGAGGCGCACTATAAGTTTCCGGCATGAATAATAAAAAAATACTATAAATGGTCAGAACTGCATTTATTGTTTCTCGAAATATTTTCCGTTAGCGTTAATGCATTTTTTCATACGAATGAACCAATTTTGAAAACATTTATGCAACTCCTCCGTGACAATCTCTGAAACATATTTTTCATACGACAGCCTCTTCAGGTGATGAAAATGGTTGACCGCGTAACTGGTTCTTAATTTTTGGAAATAAATAAAAGCCACAAGGTGCCAGGCCGGGACTGTACGCGGGATGGCTCATAAGGTCAATGTTGTTCACCTTCAAAAATTCATTTGTCTGTCTGGCCGTGTGAGAACTGGCATTATCATGGTGCAAGATGATACGGCGTATACGCTTGTGTTTACCGAGTTAGTTTGTCAATAACTTCCGGCAAACAAATGGTCGTGTACCAATCATTATTCACGGTACAACGATTCTCCAAAGCAACAGTAGCCACGAGTCCAATTTTATTTAAAAAAAGAAGCAATCATCCGCTTAAAGGCACTTTGCACGCGCGCCACTTTGGTTGGTTTCGGCTCATCTCGAAAGACCCATACGCTCGATTACTGCTTTGTTTTGGAATCGTAACTATAAATCCCATGTTTCATGTCACCTGTTACTATGTCCAACGCCAAATTTGACGTCCCTTCGTTGAATCTGGTAAGCATGGCATTGCACCAAGTGACGCGATCCGTTTTTTGAGCCTCAGTCAAATTGTGTGGGATCCACCGAGAGCACAGCTTTTTCAGATCCAAATGTTTGTGTAGTATTGATTGTATTTGACTCATGCCTATGCCTAAAGATCCCCGAATGTCATGGTATGTCACATGCCTGTCTGTTTTGATCATACGACGCACAGCATTGATGTTTTTGTGGTTCACAGCAGTGGACGGGCGACTATCACGAAATTCGTCACTGGTTACTGAGATTCACACGACTGCGTTTGAATTCTAAACAAACCAACTATAAATAGTCGTCTTGCATGGTGCTTCATTGCCAAAATCAGTTTGAAGCCGAGCGAAGCTTCGCTGAGCTGTTAAATTACACTTAAAGTCATAGAAAATCATACTACGAAAATTTTCACGAGTTAAATCCATGGTGATGTAGACAACCAATTTCTAAAATAACGCCACAATGTAAAAACAAGTGACAGTCAGATGAAACAAACCGTATTCTACAGCCAAACAGTTCCATTTTCAAATGTTGTGATTACTTTTTAAATATTGTTTATGTAAATGGCCAGTTCCGGAAACTTATAGTGCGCCCTAAGTAACTATATAAAAAGTCAATTAAGTACGTCATATCGTCCTATTTGCGCTAAATCTATGACCCACTTTTGTTAATTTTACAGCTTAATATCTCACTCATTATATTTTCGATCCACAACATACAAATATAAACGATAATTGAGAAATAGTGATTTATTATAAAAGTCTAACGGCTCAAAGAGTCACAAATAAATAAAGGGTACTATCGAAGGGTAAAAGAGGAAAATTTACGATGAATGCACGGTAAAAACAGATTACTTAAAAAAAGACAAATTTCTTTGTATGAAGACAATTTTATTAAATCCAAGAAAACGATTCGCTCCCTATAGACGCTAGAGAATAATTACTTGATAATAGTAAAAAAACGTCTCAAAAGTGTATTTTAGTTCTAAGACAGAAATATTTAATCCAAGAGCAAATTAATTTATTTAAGTCATAAAGCTACTCTAGATTCAAGAAAATATTTATTTGTTATTAGAAATTTCTGATTTTGACTTGAAAAAAAAAGAATGAAAATTGAGAGATAATTATTTAACTGAAGATTTATGTTTTCTATGTTTAAGAGAAGTTTGATTTCATTCTGAAACCAAATTTCTTAAATTATGACTTTTGGTTCAGTTATATCAAAGCAACTTTCTGCTATTAATAAGTCCATTACAATCTTAATGTAAGATTTTACCGTCTTGGGTTAAAATATGGGGTAAATCTTAATGTAAGATTTTACCGTCTTGGGTTAAAATGTGGGGTATTTTTGATTTAAGTCATTTTGTTTGTTTAAAATAAGGCTCAATTTATATTGCGGCGGAACGGAATGGAAGCGAATTTTTGTAACGATATTATACATAACATAATGAACATTATGGTCGATTGTGTAACGGTACAAACTAGATACGAGCCAAAATCTTCCGCGGAATGCTCGAGCATTCTCGAGCATGTACGTTACACAATTGACCATAAAATTCATTGTGCTATGTACAATAACGTTACAAAAATTCGCTTCCATTCCGTTCCGCTGCTATATAAATTGAGCCTAAGGGCATAGTTTGTGAATAATTAAAAAAAATATATAACCGCCTTCAAAACGCAACAATTAATTTTAATGAAGTCGTTGGCGTTGCTGTTATGACGTTCCGACTTTATCAAATTATAATTATTGCTTCTTGAAAACGGTTGTATTTTTTTGAGAATTGTTCACAAATTTAAACAAAATAAAATTGCAGGCTTAAAATACTTGACACAAAACGACTTAAATAATAAAAAGATTATACTTATTTAGGAAATAAATTAAAAAACGTTTATTTTTTGTACACGTATACAATACTGGCATAATATTAGTAAAATACAAAATGAATTATTGACATGAAAAACTTTAACATAGAAAATTAAATTACAACTCACAGAAATAAAATTCGTGTCCCTACATATATGCATATATGTGTGACAAACCATAATTCAATAAACCTTAGGGCTTGTTTACGTAACTTACTTATTTTATATAAATTTGCACTGCAACAAGCCTTCTGAATAATTTAAACAATCACACTATCCCTGGAGTATAACATATCTAATCCCTGGAGTATAACATAGGGTTGAACAGACAATTTCTTGCTTGTCGCCTTTTGTTTTTGTTCTTTGATTACTTGGTCTATATCGCCAGCATTCTAGAAATTAAGATAGTATTAAGAGTACATGAAACATAATAAGTATCCACAACAGATTTGTGAGCCAATCTTTACCACAAAGTAATATTATAAATGAGGCATAAATATTGAAAACAAAAAATACATATATTATATACAGGAGGCAGTTTTATATATATATACCTACTCATCCGTAGAACAAAGATCTATATGTGCAAGACTACTTGTTCTCAGGACATAGTACATTTCGTTTGTTCTTCTTCGCTGTAAATGTCAGATCGACTGTTGTTGGATTTTATATTTTCGAAACGAAATAAGATATATAAATTGTCAAAACGCCTTTACACAGGCCTTAGTTTGAATAACGAAATTATTCTCGTAACGTTCTTATTCTCTTTTTGTTATATAATCATATCGGACTTCGGATGAGTCGACATATATAACTTCCTCCGTGGCCAAACGGTTAGCATGCCGAACTGCCAACGCAGAGGTCCCAGGTTCGATTCCCGGGTTGGGAGAAATATTTGTATGGCCTAAATTTATTTATCTCGTGAGTTTGAGTGTAATTTGTGATTGTTTATGTGTATATGCATGGCACCCGCGACACAGGGTTTCCCTAGGGCGGGGCTATTAAAAAAAACATACCGGCACACAAATATATGAGGAGTCAATTGCTGAGTAGTGAACTTAATTTTTTTTGAAATTCTTCCCTTTGGAGGCACCAGATGTGCGAGTATTTTAAGCTCAGCAGGAAGTGTTACTGTAACAATTGAAAATAATATTATACAATTTTATCTATCAAATTTAGCCACTGTAGCGAAACTCTATACCACTCAAACTTTAATCAGACAACGTAGGCCTCTAAATTAGATCTAAATATTTCGAAGAGAAGAAGGAAAGACATTGTGGTAAAGTAAATACAACATTTGCAAACAGACAATTCAATCGATCGGCCCAATCGATCCAATCGATCGGACGGACGGACAGACGAACGCAGGCACGCACGGACACACTGACACATGGACGGACCGACGGACAGACGGACAGACGGACCGACGGACCGACGGACAGACGGACCGACGGACCGACGGACAGACGGACTGACGGACAGACAGACTAAGTTAAAAATGTTAAATGTGAATTTATAGCTATGGAAGAGCGGTACCTCCTGACACTGACGCTTGACAAGCTTAATAGGAGGTACCATCCACTGTTAATGTAAAGTTAATTGCATTACTGAAATAAACATTTTCTTATTATTATTATTATTTATTTTACTAATTCTATCTCAAGCTTTATACAATTAAAAACGAACACTTACAATCATTGTCTAAATTTTTCAGTGACTCAATAAGGTTCAAGATTCTTTCGTCTCTGTTCGGTTTAAAAGCAATAATTTTTTCGAAAAATATTTTCCAATTTAAATAAAAATTCAGCCCTTTTTCTGGATACAACAAGTCGAAGTCAATGTTTATCTGAAAACAAATATCATAGTTGTCAAAATGATTGGTCTGCGTCAAGATGGAGGGACCCTAGCTCAGAAATGAAACGTAAAACATATGAAAACAGATTACATACCAATATGTCACTTCTTTGGTCTGATAATATTTTCCAGTCTTGTAGAAACTCATGAACGCTCTTGTGTTCACTTTCTTTTCGAACTTTAAACGTATGTTTACATTTTTGTATTACTTCACCCCATGGTTCGGTGTTATTTTTGAGAAACAGTATATCTCTTAAATGTAAATCTAAAAAAAATCATGTTAGTGTTTCATTTTATCCTTATTGAAATGTTTTGTAAGACTTTCATTATTTACCTGCATTCCAATCACCTGACAAATGCCTATCCCACGTAAGTACCTGTTCCTATCTAATAATAATAATATTATAGATTTTTTTTTAGATAGAGGAGATAGTAACAAAACAACCTATTGAAAATAAACATTAGTTCAGCAAAATTCAATAGTTTAGAATTCATGATTATTTATTTACAGTCAATAGCACATCAGACCACACATTTTTATTTGAAAATCGCCTCCAGTGCAACGGAACAAGATACGTCAATGTGTAACTTGACACGTTGCCATCCATACTTTTTCAATATTTTCTATTCTAGTCATTAAAACCACCACCAGTATCATAATCGTTATTCAAACAATTTTAACTTAATTTCTCAAAAGAAAACATTGGTTCAGCTCAGATTTACATGAAATTATTCTCAAACCTATCTATTTATCAGAAGTTCTCTATATGTTTTTAAACATTTTCTTTTTGTGTACATTATGACCATTAGAGAGTTAAAATTGTAGAAACTCATGAACATGAATTGTCTAAAAAATAACGGAGTAATCTAAGAACAAACACAAAAATGGTTCATTGCATGCTAGCTACATGGTTACTACTACTTTAATACCAAATTTCAATTAATTTAGTGGAATAATTTTCAAAATAGACTAGTTTTAAACTTTTGACTAGAGTAGAAAATTTTCAAGAAAGTACATAAAAAAATCATAACTTAAGCTATTGATTTTTGCTAAAGTAATGTTTATTTTAAATGGGTTGTTACTCCTCTATGTAGAAAAATTTTTGGACCACTGTAAATGGGGCCCACTTACAGTGGATTTACAGTTACATTTACCTGTATTAAAAACCCAGAATGATGCGACTTAGAATACCTACTCTCAAATACCTAAATAGGTTCATAAATTGCTTTAACCCAGTGAAAGTCAGTGGGTTTAATTGCAAGCCTATTTAAAAAAAAATTACCTTGCAAACCTTGAATATACTGTCTTTTAAACGGTGGAGCATTTTCTAGAGTGCCAGATTGTCGCTTGTGTGTGGTCTCCATATTTATACAGAAGGTTACGGACTTTGTCCACCAATTTTCCTGCTGCTACTGTAGAACGTCCATTAAATGAATTATTTTTTTTTATAGGTTTGGTAAAATAAGTGCCTATTGACTCCTTTGGAAACAGTGATATTATTTTCGCAGATATAATATTATATTCTTCATAGGTTATCCGGCTAAAAAAATAATGATGTATTATTGGGAAGTGTAAAAGTAATCAGAACACAGTATATACTTACTAATATATACAGTATATACTTACTAATTGACAATGTATGTGTATATATGTTTTATAATTATATCAGTCAACTGGTTTCTCTTGGTATTATTGAGAAAACCATATGTTTCATAGTATTTTAAAATACTATTGCCACCTGCTGACGTATGCAGTAGTGTCTCCAAATCAAAATGTGGAAATGTTTTTCTAGATACACTTTTGGTTGTTTCCAAGATGTCGACCATTTGTAGTTCATCTAATGAAACTAATAAACTGGTAAAAAACTAACAAAAATAAACAATCACTGGTGCTTGTCTCAAATTTACTGGAGGTGGGAGTAATAATGACTTGATCATCAGTTGATTCAGATACTGCATCCGTCGTTGCCTGTAAAGTTAAAAAAATAGAATATATTGTGTATTTTATAGTCAAACTATGTTAAGATAGTCAGTATGAAAGCACTTTCAACTAAATTTTTTAACTTAAACATACAGGTCCCTCACCTGTGCAGTAATAAGCTCCCCTATCTTTTCCTCTAAAGATAGTCTAGTCCCCATATGTGGGCATAATTCTTTCAAATTGTCTAGTTTTAATTTGGGGAAATGTTCAATCGTTATACCATTCTCTGCAAAAGTAGTCAAGTTTGTAAATAAAGTCAAATTAAATCAAATATCTTTTTATGTATTTTACTTCTAGTTTAATAACACACACACTCAATAACACATACACTGAATATACCCCGCACTAGGGAAACCCTGTGTCGCGGGTGCCATGAACACACACATAGACAACCACAAACTGCACCCAAACTCACGAGAGAAATAAATGTAGGCCGTATAAATATTTCTCCCGGCCCAGGAATCGAACCTGGGACCTCTGCGTGGCAGTCCGGCAAGGTAACCGCCACAGAGGCAGTTAAAAGTTAGTTTCTATTGTAAAATGCTAATTGTCGAAGTCACGCATTTCAAAGGTAGATAGGTACATTATTTTTAATAAACAATGACGACATTAAATCGGGATTCTAAACAGAGATTATTTACATAAAAACTCATAAATTAAATAATCCCATGTTTAAGTATACTGTATACCTATTTCTAGGAAAAGTTCGTCTAAGATCCCTCCATTTTACGCTTACATTCAACGTTACGTACAAAATATCATTATGCGCATAAAAATGTAATACTTACACAATTAATTCATAATAACATCAAATCACTCACCAATAAAATTGGTCACTACAACTTGTGGTATATTCCACGATTCCAAAAGTTCTTTCAACGAATCCATTACTGTTTCCACAAACAACAAATAGAAAAATCAGTTCCTTTTTAAGATTTTATTCTCCTTGCCTTACCTTTTTAAGATTTCAAGTAAAACTAAGTAAGTATAGTTCACTTTGCTTCTTAAATAATTGGCTATTGATTTATGGATAGCTTCTTCAATCGCAGATACGACGGCCACGGAGACGGAGCGCGCGCGTTTTCAACATGTCACGACATGATTGAAAATGACAAAGCAAAATGTTGCCATAAAAAATGTATTCTCGAATTTAGAATATTACTCTTATTGGCAAAATAACTTTTTTTTTGTCTAAGAAAATATTTTCTTAAAATACATCCAAGAAATTGGGGATTCATTTGAGATTATTTAGATTTGATGTAAGAGGAAAAAATTTCTTGATGTAAGTAATGTCCAATTAATTGATTAGAAATGAAATAAAATCTTGAAGTGAACGTATTTGTCTCAAAGTTAGAATAAAGTTAAGAGTAAAATTGTATTAGAAAAAGATAAGCAGTATCTTTGTAATGACAATATTTTATTACTTTAAATAAATATGTTTTCAGAATTAGCAAATATTTTGAGAAATTGCTCTTTCTTATTAGTAGAAATCCTTTTTTTCTGTGTGCGATCGGCTTTCGTCGTTCTAAAGCGCTGGTATTTTTCAATCGAAATAAACATGTTATGGCCAATAAGATTATTGAACGCCAAATGCACGTTTCTGAATTGAAATCTAATAGAAGTATTGATCTATATTGATGGTTACCGCCGTAATATCGATTACGCGCGATATTTTCCAAACTGTTTGTGTTAGTTCCTCAGAGACCTGGCCTGTATACTGACCTCTCGCTCTGTATACTTTCACGTAGTATTTAAGTTTTATGTTACCTTAGGGTCACGGTCGGTTGTTATGTTATAGGGAACAGTGTTTTCAGTATGCCAATGTAATTTTAAAGTGTGGCAAGATATAACGTGTAGTTAAAGGAAGGCAGCCTCAACTGTTAATCAGTTAATTATGTAAATGGAGCATAATCGCTTTGAGGAAGATATAAAAGCTGCCACATGCTAATTTATGGATCGGATTTTCAATGGAATGGTTTTAAAATTGATTGATAAAACCATTTCATCATGCTTAAGCACGAAACTTGGACGTAATTTTAACGAGTTTGTAAGCCTCGTATTGTATCGTTCGTTTGATATTCAAGGCGCACAATAAACTTTCTACTCCAATTGAAATGGAGAAATTTGTACACAAAACGTTTGAAATTGATGGGCTGGAAGAAACAAACGGGAACTGAGGTCTTTCCATGCTCTACATAATATAAATATGCTAAAAGTGTTTTTTTTATTGCGATTTGCATTTGAATCCACCTTATTCTATGCGGATATCACACATAAAGAATTACGACTATAATGAAGTGGATAAAAGGCAGATTAGCAGATGGCGAAAACAACTCATTTGTTTCTTGCCTCAGTGTTGGCCGCCCGTCAACAAAAAGTAATGGCGCTCATGAAAGGAAAGTACCCTCTAATATTTCCTCTGCATTTTGTTTCCTAGAAAGCACGTCGTGTATTTTCGAATTGTCCTCAAGTGATGAATGTGAAAATAAATTTATTTATTTGGCGTCAAGCCGATGTACTAAATGAAATAAGTTAATTTCAGAATATTCCAGATTGGGGAGCAACGATAATGTCACGATTAAAGGACACCTCCAATTAAGCAATGACTCTTGTACTCTATCAAATGTTATTGGATCTAATAATCTATCAAAAACATGAGAGGTTTTGATATTACGAACAAAACAAGTTGATGAAATCCTAGATTCTGTAGAACCATCAGAAATAGTAAATTTTCCATGCTATATTACGAACTCGGTATCCACGGTTATGCATAGGGGTGCTGGGTGAGGAATCCCGAGCTCGGCTCCCTGTAGGACCAATTTAGGACATTTCACTTTTTTTAATTGGTCGGGTCTGGATGTTCTGGATAGCACCCCGGAGTGAATTCGTTGCTCTGGTGCTCATAGTACACCGAATTCCCTAAATTAAATTATTATAATATTAAATTCTTTTTTTTATTAACACTACCATATTTTAACAATATAAAATGAATTTAAAAAATAATAATTAAGTTTAATTATTACTGATAATTAGAATAAATTAAAACATTAATTATGGCTGCAGTCTTATGTCTGCTTGGGATTCATCGGACGAAATACTGGCTGCCTAACTGGTGGTACGGAGTTTGAAACCATGTTCCCTGTTGAAAGTAGGATGTTTTTTTAATTTCAATGGCCTGTCTCAGCATCTGTCATCATTCTTTTGCAAAGACCTAAAGTTTGAGTGTGCAGCTTTATTCATGACATGCTAGAAGACTGCAGACGTATTTACGCGGCGGTGTTTGACATCACCTATTGTTCTTTGACGCGGATACAAATGCTTCGCTGTGTTTGTCGATAATTTTAGAGAGACCGCACGCGCAGTCAAGCTTGTAAACTCCTGCATCCTGTAAAGGGATGTTACATTTCACGGGTCTCCGGAACTGAGAAATCTTCCTCAGGGGTTTAAAATAGGTCTTGATAGCTCTCACAAAAGGTAAAATGGCAGGTCTTCCCTCGACTGTTAGTGGTTTTACATGGCGTCAGTGGCATTGGCATGGAATCTTCAACTTCTTTCCACGTAGAACTTGCTTTATATGCTGAAGTTCCTCGGCCAGACGATTAATGTCGTAGACGCCATGTGCCCTCTGAAACAAAGATTTGCCCACGGTAGCTAACTGGTTAGGTTGTTGATGGGAATTACCATTGAAGTACCAATCTGTATGGTGTTTCTTTCGAAATACAGTATGGCCTAAGGTGTTAGTGGTATTTCTTTTGACTAAATATCTAAGAAAGCTAAAGTACCACAATTCTCTTGTTCCATAGTAAACTGGATCTTTTTACTAATGGAATTAGATGATCCAAGTAACGGGATTACGACCGCAAAGATAGTTTCATTTCCTGTGTGTAACAATCGCGAAAACCTAATAACTCGAAACATTATATAACTTTGACACTGGGAATGTAGATGCCTACTTAAAAACCAATTATTTTTAAATGGACACTTAATTAAAACAGACAACTTTTGCAAAATAATTGTCCATGTTCAAGAACATTTCGTGGCAAATTTTATCAAACGAGTCGAGAGAGAGAAAAAGAGTCTGACATCGCATTAGTGAGGCTACTGACTTTAATGTTTGTCGGAATATAATCGTAAGGGAAACTTTTAGTTGGGAATCAAGTAAGAAAAATTCGTAGATTCCTAATTGACCTATTCACCCCTTATTATCAATTCGTTTAGTCGACAGTGAAATAATAACGGCAGTTGATTGCAATCAATTTGTTTTATTTACTTTTCACAGTAATTGGTTCTAAAATACAAAAGATGTATCGGTTTCAAATGGATTTTAAATGCCACGCGGCGTGTTTACAAGGAGCGGCCCGCCACTCTAAGTTGTTCACTTTCCAAGTAACTGTCACAAAAAGCTCCTTCCAACTTCAGTTCTTATTTTCGTATGGCAATCCTGCCAACTATCATCGAGTCATGGGACCACGACGACGACGGTCTGACGACTGATTATAATTATGTCTATTTTTTGTTTACAAGGGCGTAAAAACAATTTTTAATGTTTCGTCTGTAAGGTTGTTTATATAAGGAGGCAGACTTGGTAATAGAATGTGATTTAAGTCTTCGTGATAGATTTTATGCACGTATTTTTTTAAGAGAGGTAGTTTAGGTATAATTGGTACATGTTGTTTTTGTTTAAAATTGTTTCTCGTACAAAAACAATTAAGAATACTAGTTTTGTTATATCACTCACAATTCACTAATAGTAATGTCACTAAGAAATCATTAGCAAAATTACACATGTGATACTAAACCTTCGATGTCTGCTAATAATACCGCTATTTAGTCGAAATATTGACCCTCAAAATGGTAACTGTAATTATAAACCTCGCTAACATTAATTATTCTTTTCATAACATAAACAGTTCAATATTTTTCCTCGAAACTTATCAATAAACTACTTTTCGGCTCTGCTGAAAATCTTTTCTTATATGAACAACGCTATCTCAGGCTGTCATTAATATTCATTGCCACATCAACCCGTGCAGTGAACCACAAATCTGTGGAAGGTTTCAGAGTTACAAGATTTGTAGTTTCAACTTTGCCCTTCATGTTTCGTGAAAAACAATTCCACTCGTGTGGCGGGTATCGGTAAGTTTCAGAGTTTTATGTCACTTATAGAACATCGTTTATTCAACACCACACGACCTATTCATTCTAAGATACTTCTGCCAAATGCTAAGTGCTATTCGCCTAGCAATTTCTGCCTTGTCGTCTACATGTTATGTGTACCTAATTTACAATATAGGACACTACGCTCTGTGTCACGTACTGAGAACCAATTCATAGATAAATGACGAACCCCCACAGAGCGAAGAAACGAAGAAGCGAGAATCTCGCTCCAAGATTATACCTATATTATGGTAGTGTTAATTAGGAGCAGAAGCTAGAAGCAGATGCAAAAGTTTATATACTTGTGGCATTACTTCCAATGTGATGTGTGGCAAATAAGACATAAGAGTGTTTTCGACAGGCTTAATGAGACCAAAAGTTTTTGATCCCAAGTTCATTTCCTCGAAATGAGACAAGATCACGGAAAATATAAGGACATCAAACGTTTCGTCGTAAACTTGAACATTACTTCCAGTGAACATATTTTTTGTTTCTGAGCTGTTGATAAAAATATTAAGTAAAGGTGTACCAGAATCTCATGGCATTAAATATTAGAAATGTCGAACGATTTTCACCTGGCAATGTTAATTTGTCACATGTCAATTCAAGATATTACTTGTGTCAAATGGCTGTCTGCTCTACTTTTTTCACTTTAAAATAACGATTTTATAGTAAAATTACTGAGAATTCACTTCAATCTCAAGCAAAAAACATTGCAATAATGGTTATATCGCAAAATCAGCGATGAATTAGGTGCATCTAAGTCACAATTCACGATTTAGAAGCGGGTCTCAAATCTTGCCGATTAGTAG